ACTGTCTATCCCAACTGACTCTGCCACATTCCTATTTCTCATCGCGAATGGAGGGATAATGCTAGGCTTGTTTTCGAATGTCCTTTGATATTTCGTGCCCTCCACTGCCTCCCGGGCTGGATGCTGAGCGACTGATCGTATCCTTAATGAATACATAAATCCTAAGGAGAATCGCCGTCTGTCGAGGGACATCTCATTTCCCTCAGCGTAGAGACTGAGCACAGGCGACGTTCTGAAGGCACCTATTGCCAAGCGAAGTCCCTGATGATGGATGGGATCAAGTGCCTTAAGAGCTGATGGCCTAGCAGATCCGTACACAAAGCTGCCATAGTCCAGGCGTGAGCGGATTACCGAGCGATAGATTCGCAACAGACATAGACGGTCAGAGCCCCATGTTTTGTGGGACAAGACTTTAAGGAGGTTCAGTGATTTCTGGCATTTTAACTTCAGACTTTTTATATGAGGCACAAACGAAAGCTTACGGTCGAAAGTGAGGCCCAGAAACTTGTGATCTACTTTCACCGGGATAGGCGTCTGTCGCATATATAGAGAAGGAACCGCAGGGACTCCCCGTATACGGGAGTAACAGAAAGTAACCGTCTTTTCCGGAGAGAAACTAAAGCCGTTTTCATCCGCCCACTTTAAGAGATTGTTGATGGCAACTTGAAGCCTCCGTTCACAAATAGAAAGACTGCACGATGAAACAGAGATTTGAAGGTCATCAACATAGAGTGAGTATTGCACAGAGGAAGGTAGGGAACGGGCTATTGAGTTCATCTTTACCAAAAAGAGAGTAACGCTGAGGACTCCCCCTTGAGGGACCTCAGTCTCCTGGACGAATTCTTTAGAGAAAGATGCTCCTAGCTTCACCAAAAAGGTTCGATTAGAAAGGTAGCTATTGATAGTAGCAAGCATCCTGCCTCGTATCCCCACTTCATGCAAATCACGGAGGATTCCATGGCGCCATGCTGTGTCATATGCCTTCTCGATATCAAAAAACACTGACACGCACAACTGTCTGTTCACGTAAGCTTCACGAATTACGGACTCAAGACGAACCAAATGGTCAACTGTAGATCGATAGGAACGAAACCCACATTGATTAATATCCAATATGTTCTCTTTTTCTAAATAGTACATAAGTCTTTTGTTCCCAATACGCTCAAAAGTCTTGCTCAAACAGCTAGTAAGGGCGATAGGGCGATAGCTTGACGCAGAGGAAGGATCCTTACCAGGTTTTAAAAGAGGAACAACCGTGGCTACTTTCCATGCCGAAGGAAATTTGCCCTCGTGCCATATGCGATTAAAAAGGTACAGAATAAGAAATAATCTAGAAGGATGAAGGTGTGTTAACATCTCGTAGTGTATGCCATCAGGTCCTGCAGCTGAAGGCTTAGTTAAGTGAAGGACCATTTCGAGTTCACGCATCGTAAGAGGTAGATTGTAGTCTTCATGGGCGGCACCTGCAGTCTTCACAGCATGTGATTCTGCACGTGCTTTGTATGCGAGAAATGTAGATGAATAATGTTCGGAGCTCGATACAAGAGCAAAATGCTCAAGAAGATCCGCTTGCTCCTTTAGACTTTCCGGACAAATGCCACTGCAGGAGAGGAGTGGGACTGAGAAGGCATGATATCTCCCTTCAATGCGATGAACTTTGTCCCAGACTTCTTTGACTGTTGCACTACTATTAATGGAAAAGGGCCCAGTACCAATGGAAGTCCAAAGCATACACCGACCCGCCGGGGAGCCAAGGTCAGCCAGTTCAAGCCAGGAGAGAAAGTTTGCATCAAGCTCCCAGTGCACATTCCAAAAGGCCGCACCAGCTACTGGGCTTTCCAAGAAGGGGCAGAAAGTGTCAATATGCAGCGGCAAAGATCCGCCAATGCAAGTGTTTATTTTTAGGCGGACGATTCTGATGCAAGACAAGCTTAATTCTGCGGTTCAAAAATTCACTAAAATCCCACATTTCTTTTACGTTTAGGGCGCCACAATAGACAGTTCGCCCAAGCGGTGAGGTTGTTGTCATCGACACCATAACCACATTGTAAATTCCGATTTTGCAAAGTGTTTAAAAACAACACAAGGCTCATTGTGTAGTGTTCACTGGTGGTTGCAGGGTTTTTCATTTACAGCCTTGATGAAACAAAAGGCAAAGGGCATCGACATCACGAGCGAGTAAAGCCATTGCAAAAGCTTGCACGACCATAAACGCGTTATGAAAGTGGAGTTACCTGGCAGTTACAAAATGTGTCCTGCAAACTCAACATTCTGAGGCTGTATCTTGGTTGTTAGCTTTGTTGAGGTTTCACTAACGCTCCTGCTTTCTATTCCTTCAGCTGCCCTGTTATGGGGCACACCAATGAAACAATCGCCAGGAATTGCTAGAAACCGCCTGAAAAGTGGTTGCAGAAATAAAGAAGGGCTGAGAGACAATTCTTGCGAATCAATGAGGCGGCATTAGCCATGATCCTATGGCTTGCAGGGCGTGTTACATGACTATGGCTATTACAATAGCATGACATTAACAAATTGAAATAAGCTGCTCATTTCACAAAAACAAATACAATGAATATTTGAGAACTATAAGGGCAGGCCTCAAGAACTGCCCTTATAGTTAAACTGCCTCTTGCTACAACTGTAAAAGGCGGCAGAGTCCTCATTACGCACTGTGGCTTAGTCTCTTAGCACCTCCTGGTCAATTGGGAAACAAATGAAAAAGGAAAGAAAAGAAAGACATGCAAATGTAGTAGCTTCCCTGCATTGCATGTGTGCACTTCTCTGCAGTGCGCAGCTGTATTGAAAAGAAGGAGACTCGAGGGGGCATACAACAACAGGATCTACAACACAGAGAAAATGCCAATAACGTCTCCCAACTGCACTTTTGAAAAACTGGTGAAGTTCCAAAAAGAATAGTCCCTTCGTTAAATTACCCGAGCACCAAGGAGCATGCTGAGAGTTTAGTTACAAGTGCTACACATGATGTCTGCAGCAGTAACTTTTAAAGCGAAAATATAGACCGACACGCTGTTTACAAACCAGCCCGCCTTTGCCCACACCAGGTGTGGGCACTGCGCGTGAGCAGAAATCGAATTTGGGAGGAGTGAAGCGTCTGCGCATGGCGCTGTGCCGCCGACAGCGCCACCGCAGCCTCATGATGTCAGGGCCGCGTGTTGGTCTATAAAACAAATGGTATTTTGCATGTCTGTTTGTCAATGCCTCATTTTGGGTATTCAGTTAAACTTTCTTAGATTGCTAAGGTGAGCGCATGCAGTTCATACACATCCCCGGAGTGCTCCTTGGTGCTTGGGTAATTTGGCAAAAACAGTTGATTAGCGAGTTCATAATGACTAAATCAGCAGTGTCCATAATCCATATGTGGCTGGGTCATGAGTGATGGCTTGGAGGAGGAGTTTTAAAGCCTGTTTTTATCTGTGGAGCCCTCAGCATTATGAACACAATTCGCTGTATGGCGATGGGATAGAATTTATTCAAAGTGATGTTGACTTACCTTACAGGAACCTCATGGCATGTCTATACTTTATTTTTTACTCCGGGTAACTTTGTTAATTATTTGTATTGCCTGCAGAAATGCTCCACTTATTTGTGCTAAAACTGAATGTAAATTAATTGCAGATGATTTACACTTAATCTCCTGCATCAATTCATTCCCCTGCAGGTATGCTGCGAGAGAGCCGGCTCTACAACAAATTGTTGCAGTTGGTGGATGGCCACTCATATGTGCTGTATGGTGACCCGGCCTATCCCTCGAGGCCACTTCTGCTCAAGCCTTATGGCTCAAAGGCGACCCCAGCACAGGTGGAATTTAACAAAGCGATGAGTACCGTAAGGCAAGCCGTTGAATGGGGGTTCGGCAAGGTTGTCGCTGAATTTGCCTTTGTTGATTTTAAAAAGAATCAAAAGATCCGCAAGCAAAAAGTGACTCTCATGTACAGGGTGACTGTCCTTCTGTCAAACTGCCACACCTTTATCTACGGAAGCCAGATCACTAGCTTTTTTGATCTGGAACCTCCGACACTGATAGAATATCTCCAGCCTATGTCTAGATAATAGCTTTTTTTGTTTGATTTTATGTGGCATGAAAGGCTGGCAAATTGCCGATACTTAAAAATGACAGAGTGCCTTTTAAAAAAGCCTCACATCTCTTACAAGTGCAGAACCAAAGGATCCTGGGTTCAATCCCCGCCCCTGCTCGTTTCGACCGGCGTGCGGTCGCGTATCACTACTGCGTGGTGCACGTTAAAGACCCCAGGTTAGCGGTTGTACCGCACTGGCTAAATTGCTCATCTACAGCTGAGACACCAGATGCCCACTGAGGCAGACTAACTTCCGGCTGTATAAACATACACGCAACAATTTGCTTTTTGCTTACAAGTGCATTGCCGTGAATAGTTGTGCATGTGACAACACCCAACTATACTTTGTTCACCCTTCAGCTGAGACTGCAGCCAAAGTGCAAGTGCGAGCTAGACCGCACTCCTAGCTTCGAGAGGTGCATTTCTAGCACGAGTGCTTTTTCTGCTTTAAGAACACTTCAAAGCAGCTACCCCGAGCTCTCGTGTTTGTGGCATTAGCTGCAGTCTCAGCTTAATGGTAAACAGAGTATGGATGAAGCACAAGGCAATTTCAATTAACTATGATGTAAGTGGGATAGTGCGTGCCATTTTTACAGTAGCAAAATAGATGACAGAAATAGGTGTCTCGTTGCCAAGCTTTCCAAGTAGCAGCTGGTTTTCCTTCAAATCTGCTTTCACCTCGTCAGACTGTGCCATCCAACATGTTTATATTGTACAGTGTGTCTACCTGCCCTCAAGCATTGTACATATATATTTTCAGCAAAATCAAAAACTTGCAGACTATATCAATCTACTTTTTTTCTTCTTCTGGTGTGTTCATGGTTAAAACAAGATTTGCCACTGCAAATGGTGTCCTTTATTACTGGAATGTTTTGCAGATCATATTCAATAATATGTGTCATCTCCCTTTATTGGAAGTAGAGCCACAAATCTTCAACTCCTTTTGTCCTGAGCGAGCAGGAACTCGAACATGATCCGTCGCTGTTCGGAGAGCTCGCGCCTTTCCTCGGCTCTCGCCTGGGCTTCCTCGGCAAATCGTTCACGCTCGAACTCCAGCCGTTTTTCATCTAGAGCGAGTCTCCGCTCTTCTATATCGAGCTCCCTCTCTCGAATGGCTCGCTCCTGATGACTGCGCTGCTGCAAGAAGGCGGCCACGTCCCCATCGCGAGTTTTCTTCTTTCCTGCAGAAAATCATGTGCAACCAGGAAAAATGACAACAGAGTGAAAACAGTTCTGATATGGTTCACCCGTACAACGATAAGCAACTGGTAGTTTCTAATTTTCGGATATGTTCTCATTAGAATTAAACTTGAGGAAGAAAACAAGAAGGACGGACGACCACAAACTTCTATTGGAAGTTTGTGGTTGTCCGTCCTTCTCGTTTTCTTCAAGTTTAATTATCCTTGCCAACCGGCTCGTTCTGTCCTTTCTGATAAGAGGTGCACCCCTGCTTTAAAAGTGCCTTCCACACATTTGAGCCCACATTTGTAGCTCTTGTTGTACCACCTTATTAAGATGAAACTGATTATTGCAAACCAAGCACCTCAAAAAGAATTAACTCACTTGGGTGGGCATTGTCAACAGCTGTAGTGAACATATTCAACCCAATCACTGGCAGCTAATGGAGTCCCCAGGCAAAATCATATTTCATTCACTATGCTTTGAATGTAAATTAAAAATAATTGCAGCCGTTGCACATGGGATACCTAATGCCGGACCGAAGAACCTAGGCTTCAGCACACGTGTAGGTACAGTGCCAATCAAAATAGTGAAGCCTCACTAGTGTGGTACTGCCTGCTGCTCAACCTGCCTTTTTTGTTAGTCCTGCCTCAACACTGCTGCCGCGCTTTATCCAAAGCAACGTAAAGGGCTGTCCAAATAGGATTCATTTCCGGCCATTTGCTACATTTGTCGTGACGGAAGTGAAGGCTTTTTTACACTCTATATCCGCCTTCATAGTGTAAAATACCGGACAAGCGCCCACTCAAAATTTAGAGATAATCACGAAAAAATAGGGGATTGGCACTTGTCCGGTCATTAATTTTACATATAAATGTACTGTGCATATTTTTTCGTATCTTAAAAATTTGGATATGGGTGCTTAATGCGGAATGGGCGGAATGGGCGGTATTCTACGGTACATTCTTTTTGCCGCGGGGAAAGCAGGCTACCGCAGGGAAGCTTTTCTCCTGACAAAAAGAATGTATGAGAGCAGATGGGAAGCGTAGGAAAACCTCCACTGCTGGTACAGCAAATGCCACGAACGGCAGAAAACATGCCGTTTGGACAGCTCTTATAGGGAGTTTGGGCACTTTGTGTTGATGGCTCACACACTCAAAACAATCAGGTGCTCAACACAGGTGCTTAATTTAGCTTGTGGGATGTAGGTAGCTACATAAGCACCCACTCCTGCAGTTCTTTTCAGCACTGTGCTACCTACTTCGAATTGTTCTTGAAAAAATAAAATTCCGACAAGCTGCATGCCCATGAAAAGCAAACAATTTCCAGCAGAAAGAGCTTAGTTTAGACTACTTGCTGAACAACGCAATTAACGAAACATGCAATTTGAGGTTCTTCGTGCTTGGGAAGCCAAAAGTGTTTGACACCGCTCAATTCAGCATGCTTCCTTCCAATTGATTGGGAGTCTTGATGTCCAGTACAAGATTTGCCTGGAGTAGAAATTACTCAAGTAAGATGCAAGTGGTCCTGGAAACACTGCACAGAAAATAATCATAAAATGCTTAGTGAATATTGATATTCATACCTCGCAGTGCCGCAGTTCTTGCCCTAGGTGGTGGTGGTGACCTCGTGCGACCGGACCCATTGGCCCCATCGGTGGACGCCGACTGCGAAGGGCCTCCGGTGGCAGGCGTGGCAACTGCAGGCGTGCTTCTGGCGCCATTCTCAGACATCTGCATGAGTAGAAGAGACGCTGGAGACTCCTCACCTGCACCTAACGTGTGAAAGAAATTGAGTGAAATCACAGTTTTGGCAACGCTCAGCCTCAAGCACAGGGTTAACCTATTGTGAATCGTGCAAAGGCATTGCAACGAATGCCAGAAGCATCTGTAAGTATGTGGCACACTACACAGGCTGAGGTTCTCTTCTACAGCCTCTACAAACGAAGCAGAGAAGTGTAGGAGAGGCTGGGAGAGGGAGGGGGGGTGCAATTGAAAAGGTTGGCTCGGGGAGAGCTAATGGCCTTAAAGAAGGTAAGTTTCTGGGTGAATTTTCTTATTAAGGGTCCTTCCAGACTACAGGCAGCCTCTCGAGTTCTCTGTGGCTTGTGAAACTTCAGGCTTAAGTATGAAGATACCTGAATCGCCTTATAAATGTATGAAACTAACACCATTCGTTTTTGTAACAAAGTATGTCATCACACATTCCAGTAGAATCAAATTTTCATCTATATCTGTGGACCAGTGTTTGCCCTTTTCGATGGGCACCGCAATGCTTGTTTATGCTGATGCCACAACACTGTAGGGGGTAGTGATTTTTGCAAGACTTCGTGTTTTTCTTTTTTAGAAACCTTTGTACATACCGTAGTTCAAGAATGTCGGAAATGCATAGTGATGAAGCTCCAAGAACGACACCGATGCCAAGAGTGCTGTGAAAAGCAAAAATCTTGTTCTATGCACAGCCCCTTTCTTCACAAAAGCCTGCAATTGAGATTATTATTCCCCATTTTTATCACTGGAGACTAGGATTTCGGACGCTGGTCTATGCAGATTATACTGGCCCATAATGTTGTCCAAATCTTCGTCCACTACCTCCTCTGCGTTGGCTATGTTCTTCGCAGCAGCGGCTGCTGCATTGATTGCCGTCACAGCTGTCTCCCTGATGGCATTGGCGGCGTGTAGCTCTGCCATGGCGGAAGCTTTGTTGGTCCTGCTGCCTGGTCCTATGGCGTTGCCCGGCGTCATGCCCACTTTCCTGGGCTCGGCCCTGACTTGGTGGCCGAACTCCCTCGCCATGTTATTTATTTCTTGGAGCAGGTACTCCTTTTCAGAGTATTGCTCCTCTGTGCCAGACCTAATGTTTGAAGAATAAGATGGAAATGATTGCAGCAGGAGTATTTCAATTCAACACAAGGTGATTTAGTATCTTTAATTGTTAGATGTGAGTTGAGTTGTTAAGATTTAGCATATCTGCACGCAACAACCCTGAATTTTATTTAGTCACACCTGCAGCAAGTAACTGCCTCATGAAAAGTCATGCTGCATCAACATAGCCATTGGCTCTTATAAAACAGGAATACAAAACTCTGCATCCGATCAATTTTCACATTTTGTCCCATGTGGTCAAGCCACATGGGTACTTAAAAGGTCATCCCCATGAGCAAGGGAAGAGGAAAATAAAATGTACAGTGGGAATCGATATGAGCTGACTAAAAAACGCTGGCCGGGGCGGTAAAAATCACTGGAAAATCTGGGAAAGAGCAACGCAGACCATCTCTTTATTAATTTCGGAGAATTGGAAATAGAACGAAAATAAACTGCGTTAAACGATTTCCTTGCAAAATATATGTTCCGTAAAACAGACTCCCAATTTCACAAGATATAAACTCCGAAAACACGACACCCGTACTATGAATACAAATCTGGCGTATCCGTGGCTGTGCCCTCATTGCATCACCGCTTGCCAGTCCTGCACAGGTCAGTTCAGGCAGTGGATCTCAGAACGAGCCGCCGACCAAATGTTTCGCCGATTTCCGCTTAAAATACGCTCAAGGAAGAGATGTTACTGTACTTACTTTCTTAAGTTTGCCCTGTCCTCTCGACGAAAGTGGCCGAGTAGCAGGTCGCAGCGTTCGCGTATGGCACGAGCTGTGAAGTTTTTCCCGGTTGTCTTGTTGACCATCTCTGTGACTGCTCGCCACCTGTCGTGGTCCTCGAATGGGTTTGTCGCTGCTATCTCTTGTAGCAGCAGAATGTCGTCTGCCACGATGAAGCGCGACCGCACAGCGGGCACATTCAACGCGGCGGACATCGCGGACATCTTGGAAGTGATCGAGAACGCTGGCTCTCCCCGGCCTTCCCTAATCTCGCAACGACTCGTTCTCGCGAGACCCGCGCTAGCACATCCGCTACCCCCCCCCCCCCCCCCCCCCCCCGCTATTTTTGTAGAACAGCGCGCCTCCGCTAGCCTCCGCAGCTCCGCTAATTTTCCGCTAGCAGCGCGCATGCGCCGTAGCATCGTCGCTCTAGCGTATAGCGTAGCGGGAGAGCCAAAACGATCTACTAAAACTCTCTAGTTTTGGCTCTTCCGCTACGCTACGCGCTAGAGCGACGACGCTACTGCGAATGCGCGCTGCTAGCGGAAACACTGCGGAGCTGCGGAGGCTTGCAGAGGCGCGCTATCGGACCAAAATAGCGAGGTGCGTAGCGCGGCGTGCTAGCGTGGGTCTCGTGAGACGAGTCTTGGCGGGATAAGAGCTCGGAAAGCCAGCGAGGGAGGCAATTGAAGATGGCCGCCACGCCGCACCAGTCCGGTCTGTGTGCTTCGCTATCGTGGTTCTGAGGGGTGGGTTACATCTTGCTGCTGCGAGAACTAGCCGCGACAAATCCGTTCCAAGACTGCAACAGGTAGCGATTTATGGCTAACGTCAAGGAGTCTAAATAGTAGGAGGGGGCGCCTTGCAATAGTTGTGAAGCCTAGTCATAAAAAGTTTAAACGATTTTGTGGCCAACGTGACCCGATCTCAGTGGCGTAGGGGGGGGGGGAGTTTGGGGGGTCAGAACCCCCCCCCCCCCCAATATTCCGGGGGGGGGGGGGGGGGCACTCGAGAGGATCTTTCGCATTGTTTTATTTCACATGTGGGATTTTGCGTATTGTATCGTCGACGTGTGGCGATTGAATCTTCTTTTTCCGGCGTGTTTTTCTGTCACAAAAACCGGCCTGGTCCCGCCGGGCCACGCGTATTGTAAAGGGCGCCTCGTCGGCTGCCTGCTGGGCCATATGGTCGCGACTCGCCGCGGCTGGTGTGACACTCCCTGGTTGGCACTAGTTAGCACCTCGCCAGTCCCGACTGGGACTCTAACTTGACTTGTTTATGGCCTCTGCGACTCCCATTCGGGGGACGCTTTTGCTCGATGCTTGGGCGCTACCACTACTTAGAATCCGGAAATGAGTTTGCCAGATGCCCCAGTTGAGCGTTTTTGGTGTTGACTTTGTTTGGAGCTGGGGGCAACGAGTGTCTTCGGCGCAGTGACGGTCATTTTTTTGTGTGTGTGTGAGTGTTTCGCCATTGTAGTGGAGCGGGTGTGTTTTGTTTACTTTATTAGCAAAGAGCGCCGTTCGGTTAAAACTGGGAAACGGCGCGGCAGTCGACTTGGGAGGTTCGAGACAGCGCAACCCGCTCTTCCTATCGGCTCCGGGCGTAACCTGGGGCACCGCGGTAAAGGGGAAGACACGTCTGGACACGGAACGTCACCTGCTCCTGTGATGCTACTCTGCATGCGGTCTTCCTCTGCCGGAATACTCCAGTGCGTCGACCGTCCGTGACGCGACAGCGTCTGAAGCTAACAACCACCGCCTCTGGCGCACCGCGGCCACGTCGAGACAGAATCCATCGCAAGCAACCGACCTCAGGTGCTCTCACGCCTCTGCGAGCCTCGTCGTGCCGGACTGAGCCAAAGTGCGGGTTACCCACCGGATTGCGGCACAACCTTCGTCCGTGAAATTCCAGAAAAAAATTGCGATGTAAAGCAAAGTGTCAGGAAACCGCGGACGACGCGGCAACTCCAAGACCATGGGGAGAAAAAGTAAAAGCCGGGGCCTGCGGCCTGCATACACTATCATGGAGATCTCCTCTCTTCCCCTGTGTAAGGACGGCGGGAAAGATCCCCTTCGAGAGGTAATAGCTTTTAGACCCCGCCAGCCTTGGTGCTTTCCAATTAGGGGCTCCCCGGATGTCTCATCTAGCTTAGACGACTTTTCGGAAGGCGGCATCGGTCTTTGTGCTCTGTGTCACGAACCCCGCTAACCGCAGAGCATGGCATAGCGCAGAGCAAGTCGCCGTCCCCCGAGCGGGGGTGAGAAGACTCAGAAGAGCCCTTGCGGGCAAGGTCACTGGGTCGGGAGATGGGGGAATGCCCAGGAGCGGTAACTGAACCCACAAGCTCTGTCTGTCCGGTGCAACGCCTCAGCGGCTAAGGCGCTGTCTGGACCAGCAGAGGTTGTAAACTCCTTGTTAATTTTTTCGCAAACTGTTTCCCCCTTGTCCTAAATAGAAAAATCAAAAAGTCCATGTTTTAAAGACGTATAGATACGTAGATGACTATTTTTTTAATTTTAGATACAGACTCGGGTTTGGAGAAAACGGTTGAGAAGATTGTCGGACTGTTTAGGGAGGTGTCAGGCGGACTTAATTTTACCTGGGAATTGCCTGTGAATAACTGCATTCAGTTTTTAGACATTTTGATCCTTTTTTCTGAAGAACATGTCTGTTGGCAGTATTGTCCGCGCACTAAGAAAAGCCTGGTGATGTTTGAAAGTGCTCACTCTAAACTGGTAAAGAGGGGTATAGCCTTGACATGTCTAAGTGCGGCTCTGGAAAAAAAGTTGCAACCACCAGATGAAAATCAGTTTTGAACGACAATCAAAAAGGTTAACAGACGCGGGGTACCCCCCTAATCTAATCTCTAGTTGTTGTGAGAGCCTTCTTCAAAAGCTAAAAAGAAGTAAAAAAGGCAGCGAGGCACGTAAAGAAAAGAAATGAGTGCAAGTCATTCCGTACATGCATACCCTATCTCATAATCTAAAAAAGGTAGCTGGTAGATACGACGTTAACGTGGTTTTTTCTGCACCGTGTAAACTTGCCAGGATATGTCCGATGTTGACAAGGCAGAAAAAGGCACCGTGCTCCAAGAAACACGCGGTGCAATATACTGCGTGCGTCACCAATGTGGTGTACGAGATTCCGTTTAGTTGTGGCAGAGTCTACATTGGGCAGACTGGGCGCTGCTTCAATGATAGAGCACGTGAGCATAATTTCTGTGTGCGCAACAACGCGGGGGGCCATCTCGCTGACCATTGTGGGCGATGTGGATGTAAACCTGACCTGACTGGCACAAAGTTTTTAAGAAAGGCAAAGGAAAAAACGGAAAGAGAGATTATAGAGGCATTCTACATAAAAAAGAAAGAAAACAATTGCGTCAGCGCTTCGTCTTTGTATTTGCTCCAGAGTGAGATGGTGTTTCTGGAAGGTTGGCTCTGATTGTCGCGATTGAATCCGATGTGGTTTGGGCAATGTGTATATATAGGTGACAATGGTGTTAATAAAAACCAGTTGAGAGTGAAGCGCCTGTCCTGTCGTCCGTGTTTCTTTTTTGTCCTCGTTTGTTCGCGCTTTTTAACCTTTTATTCAGTAATGGACCAACTAGCCCAAACCCAAGTTTTAATGCAAAAAGTCGCCCTCTCCACCCTTCATTTTATATTTCAAAACTCGCAAGCCCTGGCGTCCCTCTACAGTCAAGACCGGAAGGGTGGTTCCCGCTTGTAGCGTCGTCAAATAAATCTACGTCTTTTGAAGCAATCGCATTTGAATGCATTTACAGGGTGTCCCAGCTATCTCAAAGTAAGCTGAAAAAAACAACAAAAAAACGGAATGCTCTAGGCGAATGAAATTAACTGTTTTCTTTTAGCAGTCGTCTTGACACAGACAAAAAGACAGTGGAAAGAGGGGGGGGTGTCGACCCCCCCCCCTTTCCCCGAAATGAAATTCTGGCTACGCCACTGGGTGCGCGTGACCTGCAGACTTGTACCGTAAGGATTACAAGTAATCAAATTACTTGTAATCATGAAAATAAACCCCGGAGAAGGGGAACAAGGGGGACAGAAGACAAACACAAATCTCCAAACACAGCTAGGTGACTGGTGCGCGACCGAAAA